CTCCTCAGCTCTGCCTTCGTGCTCAGATGCTGCTGCTGCGGAGCTGGGGGGAAGGTGGCGGCGGATGCACCAGCCTGGGTCAGCAAACACCGGTGAGTCCCAGAGCTGAGGAGCGGCCTCTGGAGCAAGGCGGCGTCTGAGGTCCCCACCTCTCCTGCCCCCAAAGGCGGGAGCCGCCCAGGCGTCCCGCCACACCGACCAGAGGGTGCCCAGCGTGATGCTGTAGGCCAGGACGGCCGCCAGGTACGCCCGGAAGAGCAGGACTTCCATCACGTAGCCCACTTGCAGCCACTCGTGGGCGACGTCACGAAACTCCTCGCGTTTCTCCAGGAACTGGCGGATGGCGGGGATCTCGCGCAGGACGCCATGCATCAGCGGGGAGCCCTCCGCCTGGCCGGCAAAGGCCGCTGCAAGCCTCGCACCCCCCACCGTCTCGCACTCCCGGGGGTCCTCGCAGCTGTAGTGGTTCAGCTTGGCTGCAGGATCAAGAGAGGCAAGTGCGAAAAACCGCTTTAGATGGGGAGCTGGGCTTTCCGCGGGTGACCCGGGCACCCAGATCGCCATGCAAACAGGGGCTACGTGGATGTAGATGGCTACGTGGGGCCCAGTCCCCTTCGGTTCCCGTGGGCCCTCTCTGCGCAGCCCTTACCTGTGCTGTCATTGTTGTCCACCTGCCTGGAGATGTCCGAGCTCTGCGTCCTGCTTCGGCTGAATTTCTTCCTGTCCCGGATGCAGAGCAGGACGGTGGCTTGTTCCAGCAGCAGGCGCTTCACCCACTCGGGGACGTGGGGCTGCAGGTCTTGCTTGTGCACCAGGCGCACGATCAGGATGGTCTCCATCAGGCTGATGACAAGCAGCGCCATGCATACCACAAAGTAGATGCCTGCGGAGATGTCAGCGAGGTGAGTGGCCTGCAAAGGCTCATGCACAGAGCACGGTCCTGAGCGAGTCCTCTCTGCCCACCTCTCTAGGGGGACCTGTGGTCTCTGTATGGAGCAGCAGGAGCTGCTGCTCCAGGCCCAGGACTGCCGTAGCAGTTAGCTTGGCAGGTAGCTCCGCCGTACCTATCAAGGGGGTGCCGACCGCAGTAGCTGGCAGCGTGTCGGATACGATGATGAGGAAAACTGAGTAGCCCAGCAGGAGGGTGATCTTGAAAGAGACCCTCTCGCCACTGTTGGGAGGTAGGTAGAAGCCCACGATGTCCATAACCATCAGGAAGATGCTGGGGAGCAGCAGGCTGACGGTGTAGAAGAGGGGACGTCTCCGGATGACTACCTGCGGGACAGAGAGACAGGAAAGGCTCAGTGAAGGGTTGAAACGAGAGCCTGAGCTGGTGTGGCTCTCCGCCAAGGCAGGCGAGGATGGTGGGATGTACTAAGGTGAGCCAGAGGAAGGGCTCACTACTGGGACCCTCCTGCCCGCAGGCAGGAGCACTGTGGCAGGGAGCAGCTGGGTGATCAAGCAACAGGGACGGTGGCAAGACCCTCCCTTGGCGCCCCATCCCCGAGAAGCGTGGCGGCCGAAGACCCTTACGTAGAACTTCATCTCCGCGTAGCTGTCGCTGCTCTTGACACTGAACTCCTGGAAGCGGCTGAGGACGTAGAGCAGCTCCCACTCGCCCTGGTTCATGAAGACGCTCCGGTCGAACTTGACCAGCTCTGGCTGCCGCCACAGCGAGAGGTTGATGTCACGGACTGGGGGGTGGAGGAGAGGTGAGGACCAGGGGCGCCCGGCCCCAAGCACCGGCAGCTGCCCGCGCCCCCAC